TGCGGAAAGAGAGGGAGGGCAGCCGGGAGCCGACGTGCCCAGGCAGCGCGGGCGGGTAAGGCAGTACGGCCTTTTTTAATTGGCGGAATTATTTGGTAATTGATTAAAAGCATAACGTATCGGTCAACGAAATAATCTAAAATTGAGAACAACGTGACAGAGGGCTGCGTGCAAGTACCCTCAAAAATAAGCGGCCCTTTTTCCACAGCACTTGCCCAAGCGGAACAAACTGATGAACGCTGAAGTGCAAAGCGCCGCACCTCGCTGAGAGGCAGGTGCTGAGGCGGCAAAACTGCACCCAAACGTAACAAGTGGCAAGTTTTCTGTCGATACTGGGTAAAATAAAGCCTGAAAACCTCCCAAGTAAAAACAAAACAAGCCCCAAGCCAAAAAGCTCACGGTATTAAGCATTAATTGATCATACAATTTTTAAACTGAACAAATACAAAAACAATTTTCAGAGGCTATCAGGCATAATATTAAAAAAAAAACAAAAACAACTGGGGCTACCTACACGATCTTCACAAATATTGCATAAGCCAACAAATAAATAGACAGTGAAGGCCATGACCTGCATGCAGGAGCTGCTCTGTGCTGTTACATGCAATCTATGCCTTGTAGGAGTGATGCGAAAACAGATTTCCCTTTTTACCACTGACCACCACACTGATACTAAAAGCTTTTCCCCTTGTGGTCTTACACATGCCATCTACCTTCCCTGAACGTATTTTAGGAAGCTACATTTATACGAAGCCTTTTCCAGATAGTACGTTTGCAATTTCCTGCCTGTTTCAGTAGAAGCAAGGTCTCTGTGGAGAGAGGTACTTGTCAAAACCCATTCAAAACCCCTGTTTATAGTAACAAAACAAAACAAACAAAAAAACAAACCACAAAACCCACCAAAACAAAAAAACAACAAACCTAGACAGCTTTGATAACACTGTATGTTTCTTTCTAGTTGTTGCACCTCAGTCCAAAACAGCGAGTAGCTTACCCTTGGGATACAGAGAGAGGAGGCTTCAACATCTTCAGTTTATTCAATACTTAAGCCTCTCAGTCAACAGCAGGGCCAGCCAGAGCCATCTGCTGCAGCGCGTTTTGTGAGGCATGCTTTACAAAGAGCAAACACTGTCCCCAGGCCAGCCAGCTGCCACCTGAGCTTGGTGGATTGGTCAATGCCCCTACAGGTTGCCAGGCCATTTACTTTTCACCGGCAATTTGATTATCTGCTCAGTCCTTGAGCTGTAATGTTCAACAGAAACACACTTCGTTCCTCCTCTCCACCCCAAGCGCATTCTTGAGTAACCAACAATCTGGTCACATGCAGTTTTCTTCTCTGGTCTCTTCTGAGCTTCAGTGTCAGTGCGCTTCCGATCTCGGGTGGAAGCAATACACACCACATGCTCAGCAGCACAACTGGAATCTATGCATACAAGGGCTCCATACGCTGAGCCATAAGAGGATTAAAGGCACTAAATGAAACAAGACCAATGTGGAACACACATTCTGGCAGCTAAGAAGGTGCACCTCTGCTGGCCTGCAAGAGACATGAAAGTCATGCCTGCATCCCAACTGTTTACCTGCATTTAACAGTGAAGCCATTTTACTGCTATTCCTTTTCTCCTTGATCGAGTGATAGTTTTGCTGTGATTGCTGACCAGTGAGATCCCTAACTAATCCAGGAGAAGTGAGAAGGGAACACCTGAGACTACAGCTACATCTTTGATTTACACAGTGCAGAAGGGGCCTGAACAGAGTGCATTTATAATATTACTCAGCTCCACCTGTCCCAGCTCACCCCTCCTCCAAACCAGAGCCCCACTCGCATTTGGTTTTGTGTGATAGATCAGGTCAGACTAAGGAAGTATCTAAGCCACAAGTCGGAGAGGGACTGAAAAGCTACTTATGAGCTACTTTTCAGCAATGCAGATATAAGCCATCTCACTGCGGTACTAGCAATAAAAATCCAGTTCACAGCCATGTTATTAGGATTGTGCAAAGGCAAACACTCAGATACAGTTCAGATAAACCCCTCCCACAGAAGGCATTTGGCTATCACATGCAGGGGGTATAGAATTAAAAATTAGCTGGGGAAGACACATCCCTGGGCTGCTTCAGTCCAACAGCTTTAAAAGGAAATCTGCATGCCACACTTTCATATTTTGCTCTTCCCTTCCTGCCTTGTTAGAGTTTTCCCCACATCCTACATTTCTACCTTATGTTGTGCCTGGAAGATGTGGAAGTAGATTAATTCCTCTTATCACATCACAGCTCCAAGCTCTGGAGCACAGCTGCAGCTTTTGAGCAAGACCAGGGAGCTGTGTGCAAACCAAAGCATGTATGACAGCTGAAGACAATCAAGCTGTTGAATTTCCTCTTCTAGTTTATTTCTTTTACCCCTGTTTCCTTCACTTACCCATGCTGCCATTTTCCTCATTTCAGCACCAAAAGCTCCTTCCCTGCTTCCAGTCTGACTGAATAGTGCTGGGAACTTTGTTCGATTCCGAGAAGAGCATGGCAAGGCAGCTCCCACCTCACCATTCCCCTGGCTACTGTGAACCAAAAGCAAGCTGTCAGTGAGACCCTGTACTGTCACAGTTACTAGAGAAGGCACTGAGGTCCTTTAAAAAAAAAGAAAAAAAAAGGGTCACCTCTAGCTATAGGCCTGCAGCACACCACCTGTATCACTCTGTCGTCAAAAGGAGAGGCTAATGAACTGCACTTGGAGTCATTCCCTGTGAGTTTAATGTGTAGATGATATTTAGCTTTTGCCTATATCTCTGAGAGTGGCAGGAGCTTCTCCATCTTCACTCAGTGCTGGCTGAGTCAACAGTTGCCATCTGTCACTCCTGCAGGTCTGCACATTATCTTTGCCACCCTGCAAGAGAAAGGAGCTGCAACTCTTTATCACCTGCTCTCTTACAGACTAAGGGGAGCTTATATGACCAGACAGAAGCTTTACATGTCCTACCTGTACCTGAATGATCTCCTAATACAGATGTATCTATGTCTCTCTCAGGGCTGGAAGAGGGTGAATGGCTTGAAAACCAAGTAGATAATGACGCTTAATTCTCTACCCTGAATGTCACCTTGCAGAATTCCCATCTGTGTTACTCATGGACATCCAGAGTCCTATACTTGTCCCCCAAGGGACAGGATAGAGACAGAAGTTTGCAGGGCATGGATTAAAAAACAAAAAAAACCCCAAACCAAACACCACCACCTCACTTCCATCATTCGAGTAGTGTTCAGTTTTGGGCCCCTCACTACACGAAGGACATTAAGGTGCTGGAGCGTGTCCAGAGAAGGGCAACAAAGCTGCTGAGGGGTCTGGAGTACAAGTCTTACGAGGAGCAGCTGAGGGAACTGGGTTGTTTAGTCTGGAGAAGAGGAGGCTGAGGTGAGACCTTATCGCTCTCTACAACTACGTGAAAGGGGGTTGTGGCGATGAGAGTGCTGGTCTCTTCTCTCAAGTAACCAGCGATAGGACGAGAGGAAATGGCCTCAAGTTGCACCAGGGGAGGTTTAGATTGGATATTAGGAAAAATTTCTTCACCGAGAGGGTGGTCAGGCATTGGAACAGGCTGCCCAGGGAGGTGTTGGAGTCGCCATCGCTGGAAGTGTTCAAAAAATGAGTGGATGTGGCACTTCAAGACATGGTTTAGGGAACGTGGAGGTGCTGGATTATTGGTTGGAGTTTATGATCTTGAAGGTCCTTTCCAACCTTAGTGATGCTGTGTGATTCTGTGAGTCCCTTGAGATGAGGAATCAGAATTAATTTCTGCTTTACATGCTTTCTGCATTTGGAACACAGAGAGCCAAACCAGGAAGCTCTCCTTACATTTGTAAGCCTTCAGGCAGAAAAAAGGCTGGACACAGCTGTTGCAGATTCACATCCCTAGAAAGGAAGAGTAGAGCAAGCAGAGTCCAGCTCCCAGGGTGCCTGTTTCCACTGCAGCAGCCTAACTACACAGCTGGTATTTGTGAGGTGTGTGCATTTCTAATTGGAGACTCGCTATACTATTCCAGAGCATGAAGTGAAACACCTTCATATTGCTTCTACAGTGAACACATGTAAGAGATACAGAACACAGCATTGCTGCCAATTCCTTCCTCTGAGAGGTCAGTCATGTGATTTCAACTAACAACATACCCACTCCCTACCAAAAAAAGTTTTAAGTACAGTTGTTTTGTGATACAGCAGGTCCCTTACGAGCTGCCTTGGGAATTTTCATGGTAAATGCAGCACACACAACACCTTGTTAATGTCTGTTCTCTTCACGGAGGGAAGGGGAAAGGAAAAGGCGTTTTCAAGGCTGTATGCTAAATACATTCTTGAATAAAGACAACTTCTCATCTTCCCATGGTTTAATGATTGCTGGAGGGAGATTCTACACCTTCTGAAAGATCAGTATGTCCATACCCAAAATGTTATACCAAACAGCAGAACATTCGCCTGCTCCTGCTGTAAGGACTGTTCTTCAAACAAAGTCTTTGAACAAATTATTTTCTTTACTTTTTCAAGCATGTTTTCCAGTCAAGCCCTTGTAGGTTTTATCGAGGGTTTTGGTAACAACGCTTCTCAGGATTTAGTTTCTAAAAGGACGTGTTCTTTCTTGGTCAAAGGGAAACTTCATGTTGGTGCAGGGCTGCCAAGACACACATCAGCATTCTCCTTCCCAGTCATGATACGTTTTCTTGAAGTCCCAAAATTCTTCCAAGAAAAAAGTTATAGAAGGCTAAGAAGTCTCAGTGAAAATCAGGGGAAAAGTCACCAGAGCTTTAGGGAGGAGGAAGGGGAAGAAAACATTTGGCTCCCACTTATAAATAATTTAAGACAACCCCAAAGTATCTGTACAAACACACATACAAACAGAAAAAATCTCATATTCCACAGATGTTGAGAGATTCAGCGACCTCTTGGGGGCACAGGTGGAGGATAAAAGCCTTCACAGCTTACAGGCCTATAAAAAGACAGAGAATACAAATGCATTAAAAAAACAGTTGAGAATAGGGTTCTGGAACAACACATTGCATGCAATAACATCGTATCTAAGAATACTGTACAAGCAATAGCCATACAAGAAGAAAAACACGCTATTAGTGTTTCAGTAACAGAGCAGATGCCAAGGTGCCACAGCCCTGTTTCTGTCCAAGTTATTTCTTCTGCTCTTCAGCTGCAGTAATTCTACTATTACTGGAAAGAGATGCTATAATACTTCGTTGGAGTAAAACTTTGACAGTATAGTAGCTTTCTCCTGAAAATTAGATGAAAAGCAATAGGAAGAGATAAAAAGATTCAAAATCTTTTTTTCAAACTAACTACAGATAAACTCCAGCTATATTCTTGCCAGAGCCAAGCCAACATTCAGAACTTACTGCACTCACACAGTAGTAACTAGTATTGTAATAGTTGGAGAATTTTATTAGCATGTATACCTAGATAAGCCTCTGGGCCCTGGACTTCATAGACTTGCACTGGTTGGACTAAAGGAACGTTTACAAGTTACTTAAGTTTGTGGTGGTCTGATCAAATCAAGGCAAAAACCCTCAACACCTTTTATAAAACTAGTACAGTTCTTACTTTGAGGCCAATCATACGTGTATAAACAAGTGTACTTTGGAGAAATCTGAAATTTATAAAAAGAAAAAAGAAAAAAAGTCCAAGGGAATGCCAAAAGGGAATTCCCTCTCCACTACACTTTGTATGTTCTAAGAGGATCTTCTCAGGAGGATCAGGTCAGGGGCAGGATGCTACTCCACTTGGTTCAGTCTTATTATGGCAAGCGCTGTGTGCTTCAATAGTGCTGCCCCTCGCAGTAACAGCATTGCAATATGCATCTTACCAACTGGGAAACCAATTCCATCAGGTATTACAAAGGAGAAAGAAGGATCTTACAATTCCTAACAGTGTGTGTTTATAGATGATAGTCTGGTAAATTTTGTTGAAAGACACATTCGCTTCCTGCCTTGCTTTCTGACCAAGGCTTCAATATTGATTCACTGAAAGCTCATGTTTGAGCTGCGTTTTAGCTTTACCTGCTTGCACCTCGAGGAGGCACTCTGGGGGGCCTTTCTGGGAAAGGCAGCCTCTCTGCTTGGTGGGCAATTGGGCTGCGGCTTCTAGTTGTTTCTGGGACTTCATTGTCCTACAAAATGAAGAAAAGAGGTTACAAACCAGCAGAATTTGGTTCTTGTTAGCTTCACAACAGAAGCGGCTACATTTTGCGATTTCTGCAAATTCAATACTATCCCTGAGCTCCATTTCTTTTCCATGAAAACAAAGCCATGTACTTAAGAATAGTGGACCAGTATATAGCAGAGGCGAGAGCTTACCTCACTGTCCCCTTCCATCCCACTGCTGACACTCAATATGCTCCGAGTGCTGGAGCGGTTACTTGCACTACCTGGAGTCAGTAAGCAAGAGAAAACAGACTGATTATTAAATCTTGGTAATTTAACTGCAAATCACAAACTCGGGACTCTTTCTAACCTCATGCTTACCTCTTGCACACATCGTTTAATCCTTGTTTAGATTAATTTATTTCCACTGTTATTTTTCACATGTTCAGGATCCAAGCAATGGCACTTCATACAACACAGACCACAGGGCCAAACGATCCAGTTTTGCTTTCTTTCTAGCAGATTTCTGCCCTATCTAGGTCCAAGCTTTTAGTTAAATACTCACAACCATAATCTAACTGAAAGGATACAGTGCCAATATTAGCTGGCAAGTCAGGTAAGTATTTTCACAAGTGTTACACACTCAACGTTTATACATATTTAAATTATCAGTCCCTGTGTCCTTAATAACTCTGTGGAGGTAGATGGCGCTCAGCACTGTCACACGTTCATTCCTGGAATAAGTGACTGCTCGAGTGATTATTATTCCCAATAGCTGTTTACCACCTCCTCTCACAACGATCCTTATCACAGCGATGTTTCCTAGTCTATTTCAGAGCTAAAAATGACAAGCTTGTTCAACCAACCTTCAGCAATCATTTATGCAAAACCATTTAACTTGCATGGACTCAGAGCATGGAGTGTTTTTGCAATCAGTCATACCATCTCTGAAGGGGACAGCAACTCACAAACATGATGGCTGGTTTCAGTCATCAATACAGAGTGTTCTATAGGGCTGTGCAATACTGGGACACTAATGTTCGGAAAACTACATGCTGAAATGGAGGCTAGAGAGGTTTTCTCGTAAGACGCAGTCCCTCCCTAGCCTTGGTGAGGTAACTCTCATTATCAGCTGGTACAAACAGCAGCACTTAGGAGTGCTAAATACTATGTTAGGGTCCATTCTCACAATCATGCCATGTGAAAGAGAGCCCAGCTGCACACAGTGAACTCTGCAGGCTCATTAACATTTCTCTCACAACCGCTTATATGCAAGTTACTGGCTCAGTCAGCTGCTTCTGACACCTAGTCTGGATTTGTGCCAGCTACATCTTGCCAAGAGCCACAAAGGTAGTAACCTCACTGGGGCTCAGTTTTTCTTTCAGAGGACCAAAATGATCTTAATGATTTCTGTAAGACTTGCTCAGTCTGCAGTAACAGCGAGAATGCAGGGATTTAATCTGCACAAATTAAACCTAATAAAAACCAAAGATAATAAAAATGTGCAGGCTGTCCAAGTCACTCAAGAGGTCCCACAGTTACAAAAAATGCTGTCCTTTATCTACAAAAATTAGGGAAATGACACGTAGAGACTGGTTCCCAGCCTGCAATATAACTATACCCTTCAGACCAGAAGAGCACACTGCTGGCTGAGAGTCACAGCAAGGGAGCATCCTTTTTTCTAAGGAAGCAGCTGCCATCTACTTTGAAGACAGGTGATATGCCTTCCCCAAAAAAGCTCAAGGGAATCTTTCGCTCAGCTTTCAGGTTCTCCTCCTGCAGAAATGCAGACACAAGATGCCCAAACCACTTGATGTACCTGGAGTTGCTTTTAGTTTTGAGAACAGCCAGCTTGAAGCATGCAGGGTTTGGGGTAGTGGTGTCAGTACTGTGATTCAGGAACTGTCCCCTGAGCTGACTCCAGAGTCAGGCTGGGGAAGTGTTTTCCACCCAGCTTTTCTGTAGAGAGGGTGACACTCAGGGTTTGCTTACTTGTTGTGCTGGATGTGCTTTCTGTTTTCCAGTCTCCTCGCTTTAACTCCTTTTTTGGTGGGAAAATGTTTTTCCTCGGGGCATATTCATATATTCCACATTCTGGTTTCCCCAAAGTATTATGAGAATGTCGAATGGGTACTGTAATTTCCAAATCTGGAAAGGAAAATTAACAAACTCAGAAGGGTCTATGCAAGTATAGCCTCTGAGAGACAGCTTTGCACCCCAGAACAAAGTTAAACACAATCACGTAAGGGCGATCATAACTGTGCATGAATTAAGATTCACTCCACAGATGTGAGCATCCTTTCCTCAGTCTAGGAAAGTGAGGAGTAAAGCAACTTCCCTATGTTTTTGCCAACAGGCACATGGTTGTGAATCTTAAGACATCGATCGCATAACTACAATACACACAGAGACATTTCTGCCTGAAGTGCCTATTAATATTGTTAGCTGTTTCACTACCAGAGAATATCAGAATCAGAGACTGTTACCTGCACTTTTGTCTTTTTTTTGCTTCTCCATTTGCCTCCTTGTTATGCTGTCTCGTAGCCGTTTCAAATTTTCCTAAAAACATCACAAGATATTCTTCTCAGGGCTTTGGATAAAGGAGGATGAGCAGCTTTCGGACAATACCTATGCTATATTTCATCTAACTTTGCAACCAAGCTGTAACAAAGCCTGCTACATCTGGCTGAAGTCCAAACCATGTCAACAGGTTTAATATATTCCCTTCAGAAATCCATGCATGCCTTTCAGAAGCCAAGATTTTTCAGATGTTCATTGTGATGTAAGGTCAAGTTCACAGACTCACTGGCAGTTGCAGATAAGCAGCACATTTGGTTTAGAACTCCCTGTATTTTCTGTTTCCACCGTGACACTGGCATAGAAACAAGACCCACATTCAACTAACTGCACGGTCCTTTCTGTGCTAATGAACAGATAATTCTGACTGCAGGGGCAGAGGAGGCTGCCACATATCCCACAATGTGAGGACAATTCAGAAAGAATTCAGGATGTCCTCGCTGAAGCAAGAGGGGATGCCTGGAAATGTAACTGGGAGCAAAGGCTCTTCACTATTGTGTGGCAGCATACTGCACCTTACGGTAAGGAAAGGTGGGGAGAAAAAAAAAAAAAGACAACTTTTCCAGCAGGGAAGTATGTACATATGTAACAGGAGGAAACCCCTGAAAATGTGAAAAAGCAGATGGACCAATTGCTGTACCATGAGGCAAGGTCTGGAGCAGAAACTTTGAAAGCTGCTCATGGGATTGGGCAGAGAACATGCCACTTCATCTCTGCTACAGACATCTACCAAAGTAGCACTGCGTTCTTTGACAGAAAGGATTCCTCTGACTCTTTCTGGGTAGCAAGAGCCCTTCCAAGTGAGAATCAGGAGGAAAAGAGTCTTGCCTTTGTTCTGACAACTCCCAAAACAGTGTCATACACCAGAGACCAACACCTCAAGTGTGACAGCAGGCTGCTGCAGCATGAACAAAAGGCTCCAAAAGAAGCAGGCAGTGGTTTAAAAGAGGGAACCCCACTCCAACTTAATGGAAATTTTACACTATGACATCTACAAGATCGGACTTTAAAGCTAATACACCCTCTGGGACACTGCATCTTCACTGATCTGAAATGGATGAGAACTGACAAGCTAAATGTTCATCACAGAAGTCTCCTGCCAGCAGGTAGGTGCTACGTGACCTCTAAAAAGGTAATTTAGCCAACTGGATTTGGCCCTAATCCTAACGTACAGATCTCCAAAAACTAACAATACTACTGCAAGACAAACAGATCTGTAAAACAGCTACCTCCTTGCTGCTGCATGGGAACAGCCCCTCAGTGTCAGGAGAGAACTCTGCTAGCTGGTGGACTGTGTTCCCTGCTCCAACCAGGGAAGAAATGTACCGACACTACACAGCTTGTGACATATACCTAGAGCGACAGCTGTATTTCTCAAACAGTGGAATAAGCCTGTACCTGCTGGAACCGGAATGATTCTGATCTCTTTTTCTGGTTCAGTTGCCACTCCTTAAAATGAAGTACAGCTTCATCAACAGTGAGTATGCCCATTTTCACTTGCTCCTGTAATGTGATCAGCTGCCGTTGACCTGGGGTTTTCATTCCAGCAAATGGATCATATACGCTTGATTGAGACAGGTCCCTTACAGGCCTGACTATTGTCTCTGAAGAAAGAACACCACCAAAAATATTATTGAACTTGTGGCACGTGCCCTCCTCACTGATTACAAAGAAACTCAAGCATTCTTGATATAGCAGAGATGCAAAAAAAATCAGTATTACAGACTGTATGTTTCCTTAACCATAAGGGTGTTTTATCCTTATGCCATCCTGCTCTTTGTCAGAGCTAAAAGCCCATCTGACAGGTAGCCTTGTAGGCAAATATGTCCCAGGGATAATCTCTGTTCTTAAAAACATAATTTAAGTGAACAGCATAAAATGTACTCCTTAAAGGGCTCTGCGTCCTCACTGCAAAAATTTCTCTCCCCTCAGCAATCCACAAAACAGAGCTTTCACCTTGGCAGCCACAAAGCTAGACTCTTCCTAGGTCATCTGTGCAGTGTAACTCCAGAAACAGAATGGTGAAAACCTCATCCTGCTGATGCTGGGTCTTTGCAAGTCATGACATAAAGAGCAGTTACCAACACATGAGATAAAAGCTCAGATTTGGTTCCTGGCACTCTGACAGTGTACAGAGATAAGAGGTGAAAAAATAAAGGGCACAGTTTTGGAAGTGCAGAGATCAATGGCAAGCAGTTCACTAAAGGTTAAACCCCAGGAAATAATGATCAGCAGGCAGTGGCTATATCCAGCAGATCAAAAGCAGGACATCGACTCCATGAAGTAATACTGGTCACAACATGTAAAAGGACTTCAATGATCATTATGATCCTGACTGAAGATAAACTCCAAGACAAGGGATATGAACAGTATGTGATGCACTCTGCAGTTGTAAGTTTCCAACGTCATACAAGGTCAGAAAGTTTGGGTCATTCATATAGGACTATTATCCCCAGAGCGTTGTAAAACAGACTGTCACAGTTCATACAAATGAAGTTTCCTCAGCCAATTTGCTTTTGGATTACTGGAAAGATTTTCAGGGTGAACTTATGACTTACCTTTCTTAACCCTTCCTCTAGGGACATAGATATTCTCAGGTCTTTGAGTTTTCTGTGCAAAAACTGTAAAACAAACACTCTTTAGATACTGAAATGCATCTCATGAAGGCAGAAACAGCAAGGATGAATATGGGAAGCATACACAATTCTATGCTGCATTACAGCTTCTGTTACCCTACTAAGTCCATTGAAGAAAATAAGAAAAGGAGTTGTACAGTAGAACTCCCCCTTCTACCAGCCTCAAAGAATTTAGCTCAGACACCTCTAAGAGAAATTTGGACATGCTTTCCCCACAGTCTTGTCATGGGGGGGAAGGAGGAGTCACTGAAATTACTCTCCCACATGTTACGGTAGTTCTTGATGGCGTATTTGTGAAATATGACCAAGCTTTCCAAAACTACCTCAGCAAACTGAGAGGCACAATTTTCTTCACTTTCAATTAAACCCTACCTCAGAGGGAGGTATTGAGGTATAGAAGCATGTCTGATACCGATGCTATTGAATGAATGATACCATTACAGAGCAGCAATGTCTCAATTTACTAGTTTGATTGTGTCCTTATAGTATCAGGATCTTTCCTATTTAGTTGGATTTGTTTACACCATTTGGGGGTAGTCTGTCATCCTACTGCTTTCATTAAGAGCAAGCTCAGGCCAAGAGCTCAGGATACTACATCCCCACATTTTCAGAGTAGGCAGAAGATGAAAAACACATTTCGAATTGGATCCCAAAGGTAATCCAGCTCTTATAGAGTGAGACAGACTCCAGAGCCAAATAATCCAGGGGCCTCAGAAATGCGTAGATTTTCTTGGTGTTTATTCAGCAACTGGAGCCTATGTCAAGGACATTCTACAGTTGACTAGTCTACAGTTTAGGCCTTGGTACCCAACTCACTTTTGGAGATGTACAGCTCATTGTCTGGCTGGGGAGAGCTGGTTTCTGGTCTTGGAACAGGAACTGGCGGTCTGCTAGCCATTTCCTGTGGAAAAGTATCTTGTTCCACTGAGTAGTATACATCTTCACCATACCACTGGTAAACTCCTTCCTCTGAATCTGGCAAATCCATGCTACTGCCTACAACAGAGTAGAGTTTGTAAGAAAAACAACCTGGCCATTTCATTGAACACTGGATCCCTCCAGATGCAGTACATACCACATTCTTACCAAGCTGGCCATTTCACAAGCAAAAACATGAGGTTTTGCAGTGATTTAATGTGCTAAAGCCCTTCAAGACAGGTCTTGATAAAGTCATTAACATCCCAGCCACCACTGTACCACCTCATCATCTCCATTCTGTTCTCACTCCTAACATGACTGCAAAATTATCAAATGCTGTCATATCTGATTTAAAAGCTAGTTTCCCTCTGTTTGCATACTAGCAAAAAGAATTAAGAGCTCCTGGACTAACTCCCTACTGTGTTACCAAGTCACAAGTGAATACCCTAACCACTAGACTGACTTTCCTTTAGTGATGTTGTAACACCTAGTTAAGTCAATGCAATAGGACTGCCAGAGCATTGGTGTTGGCAGGGAAATCAGAACAAGATGTTAAGAGCCCCAGACTTAATCTTGCTCTGAGTCCAGCTGGGTCACCCACACAAATTGAGCCTGTGTCCCATGGAACTTGGTGAGTCATGAAAAGGCTTAGACAACACTTAGACAACACGCTCAGTGGGGATAGCATGGAGCTACGGTCTGGCTTTGGTCAGAGAAGGCAGAGGGAGCACTACAGAGGCAAAGCGTAGATAGGTTTGTGAGCCGGCCATTCTTTTCCTCTTTCCAGCGTGCCATTTTCAATTGATGGACTTTTGAATAAAGCACCTAGATTAAAATTCATCATTAGCTTGTGCTGCTCTACTTTATACTCGGCCTCTGCCCATGAGAGGAGCCTGCATCCTCATCAGGACACCATGATTAATTCCCATCATTAAGATAAGGACAAAAGATAACCACTCCTGAATAGATACCAGTTGTGTGCTTGCACTCACTGGTAGGCAGGGACTGGAACCAGAGATCACTCCTCTTTGGTAAGAAAATAACCTCATTTGTTAAATCACCTCATAAGGTGCTTTTTCTGTTGTGCCTCATACCCGCTAAGGCAAAGCTGTCCACATCAAAGAGTGTGGCTTAGCTCCTATTCTTAACAGATCAAGGTGAAATCTCAAGTTCCATTCAATTGCTTTAACGGTGCTACTGCCATCCCTCTCTCCAAACAGGTCTCACCTTCTAAAAACTTGCGGAGCATCGAGTCTTTTGTAGTTAGAGAAACTTCACCTCCAGCAACTGGAGTGTCTGGTTGGGACTGAAGCATCTCTACATCTGAAAAAAATTGGAAAGGTGAACCTGTTGATTATTCCTTTAAATGTGTGGAACAACGTACAGTAAAGTGATGTGATATTTCTGACTGGACCTTTGGTCTACAGTGGAAATCAAAGAGCAAGCCAAGCAACTGACCAGACATTTGCCTCAAAAAAGGCTCCTAATTTGCTATGCTCAGTCCACTCTGCACACATTTCTGTCAGCTGCCTGATGCTTGCAATTGAGGGTGACTAACATTGCTTATTGAGAAGGCTCCAAGCAGGTGCTGAGGATTAGCTATTATTGAGAGTGTGTTGGCCAGGTGAAGGTTTTGGCCTCTGCACAGTGCTCCTGAGAGGCCAAACTGAGTGGAAACTCTGCTACTCGCCAAAACAAGACATTAAGGACAATTTGCCCATGACACAGAAGATAGTATTTAGTTTTTTTATTGGATAAAAGTCAAAACAGCTGGCTGAGTTAATGAATTGGACTGGAAGGCACTTAGAGGGTCAAATGATAATTTAGTATTGAGAAAGGAGTGACAGCAAACAATACAATATACTTTGTTAAGTCATTGTTTTGACATGAAGAATTCTGATTAAAAAAAGGGGTCAGCCTCATTGTAACCCTAAAACTAATCCTAAAACTATCATAAAATATTAGGTAACCATGCCCTAATGATATTAAAAAAGAGAGTGATATAAATGAATTGTTGAGGCTTATTGTGAAATATGTATTACTAAGTAAACTAGATGGTTTGGGTTACATGAGAGAATACGAAATATTCCTCTACAAATTTATTTTTAAAATTTTCTGACCTTTCTTGCTTCTTTCCTGAAAAGCTGAGGAGATTATAAGAAGGGATAACACTACACTAAAAAAGCATGATTTTGCTTTTTTAGAATGCTGTGGGTTTTTTTTTTAAACAATAATTGTCAAAGGACCCACTGACAGTCATGTGAATACACCCAACCCAATGCTTTAACCTCACAGGAATACCTCCAGCATAGCGACAGCAATGCTGCATGCTGTATTGACCACACCAGCAGCTTCTCAAGAGCTCTGTAGTCCATGCCAAACTGCATGCTGCTGGAGCTAATCTGCTCACCACCAACCTAATATAAAGTTCACTTAAGTATCACTGCACTACATGGAAGCACAGATTTGACATGAGCATCCTAAAAAATCAGCACTATAGACCCATGTTTTTCTGTAGAGCGATTTTTCCACCTTGCAGCCACCTTGATTATTTTTAAGACAGCTTTTAGAGATGAACCTGTAGCAAATACAGGCCCAGAGGAAAGTCCCTATTTTATGGATTTGGGGGCAGAACAGAATGTGACAGGTGTGCAAAGTTCCTTTCATTTTCTGTGGAGGGAACAGTGACTTCCCAGTTTTGGCTGTGCACTGCAGGATTACTAAACCAGCAGTGCAGCAGGATACTGCAGGGTTTGTTTTCTATCACAGAGTCTATGTAGTTAAATTCACCAATTCTCCTTAGAAGAACTGATTGCCACCTCACTACACTCTTGCACATGAGCCTGTCTTGCATACAGATCTCACCCATGTACCAAAACTGAGAAGTATTTTAACTCCATCAATGACACCTTCTGTTCCACTTGCTGCAAAAACACGCTAGTGAGACACAAATGACAAGAAGGTGGCATACACAAACTTCGGGTATCACAGGAAAGATCCCCAGATTTTCCTGAGGCTATTGGGGAAAGTTGGTCTGAAGGGTTGGCAGGAAAAAGGTTAAGTAGTTCCTAGAATTTAGTAACTAAAAGGTATTTATTCAAAGAGTTTAGTTGCTGTTTGCAGGGTTAAAGGCTTCAGAAGGGAGCTCAAGCAACCTGCAAACAGACACACAGAAGACAAATTATGACTCTTCAAAACAACTAAAATATCCACGCATGAGCACTCTTTAGAAAGTAGTAACACCCCTCCCCCTTTAAACATTTGCAAACACTAGATGCCAGGTATTCCTCCAGACAAAGGAAGCCACCTCTTTACAGAGACCAGTCCTTTGTTATGCAAGACAAAGGCTTCAATGTGTTGGCATAAATCACAACTCAGAACTTTATAAGCAGTTATATTTTTGTGCACAATTCCCTCAGTTTGCTCAAGGATGACAAGGAGGCTGCTGTTTCTTGCATTAACTAGGGAACAAATAAAAATCAATGGGGACAGTGTTGAAAGCTTGATCAAGAGAATAGATATGGTGGAGGAGGGAAAGGATATGCAAGAGAGTAGAATAAAGGCATTACAACTTATTTATGTGAACTATCATCTACTCTTTAGGTGTTGGAGGTCTGGAAATTACAGGACAATAGATTTTAGTCAGCTGAAACTCTCTAGGATAAAGGATTAAACCCCTGCATGAAAGTCACACTATCTACAATCTGAGTGTCCACACAGTTCAGAGATATGAAAACAGTGCTAAGAGTCAGGACTTGTTTCCACCAGCCCTTGGCCACTGTCATTGTCTGACCTTGGACAGAGGAA